AGCAGCATCTGTCTTTCAGGAGAATCACTTGAAACAGCTGAGTCAGTAGAAACATGGTCAGCGCAGTATCTGCCATAGTGCACTCTGATAATGAAGTTCTTTATGTGAAGATTACGAGATGCCTACACAGTAAACTATTTGTAGCTTCCAAAGTGAGCATCTTGGTAAGCCTAAGTGTTTTTTTTTTCCAGAGCGTATGAAGTGTAGACTCCAGTACATACATGGAATTGTTTGAACTGCCTTCCTAACTACTTGCATGTGTTGAGTGGATACTTGATTACTTGTTACATTACAGGAAAATGATATGACAACTTTTGATCTCGTTTTGGTCTGAATGGAGGTGGTGCTTTGTGTTTTCCAAATACTTGGCTGGTGCTGTGGGGTAACTATTAAAATGTTGTGTCTGCCAGGTGTGTGACTCCTGTGAGCACTGGCATTTCAGGTGGTTGTGACATTCATTAGTGTGAGTATTAGTGGGTGTTTCAGCAAATGTTTGTTTGCCAAACTTCTATGCCTTTAGGAGTTAGCAGGTGATTGCTTGCAAATACTTCTGATTCCCACTTTCTTTTTCGAACTTGGGTGTAATCCCTGGAATGATAGCTTCCCATTTCACAGCTTTTCTTAAAAGCAACAACCAAACTTTGCTGTATGCAAACAGAAATAAAAACAGGCTTTTCATGCATGTTTCCCTTCAGAGGTTCTCCTGGAAAACCATATATTTAACTTAATTTGTCACACGTACAGTAAGTTACTCCTTAGTTTGCTATGTTTCTTTCAATAAATGAAGCTCCTCTCATAATGGGTTAAAAACTCAGGAAAAAGAACAATGGTTCTAAGAACAGGAAATCACACCACTATTTGTCCTGCTATATGCCTTGTCTAAGATGAGTGAACTAGTCTCCCACAGTGTCTCAAAAATAGAGGTATCTAGAAATTGCTGTTCAGGACTTCTAAGTACAAGGTTCACTTGAATAGTTGCAATGCTGTCTTAACTTTTATCCCTCTATGAAGCTAACGTAAGAATCCGGGTTTGGATTTTATGCTTATCCAGTTTAACTGTATTTATAAGATATTTTAACTGTGTAAGATACATTCATACTATTTCTTTCAGCTGATGAAGTACCATTCTCCTTTTTTAATTGTGAAGAGCAGGTTATAGGAAAAAAAAAAAGCGGTTTTTAAGAAACATGTATTACCTAAACTTTAGATTCAGGGTGCATGGGATTACTGAGTTAAATCTGGGTTTCTTGAATTATTGCACGTAGCTGTAACTTCCTATTCATGTACATACAGGTACTCTTTATGAAACCCATGACTGATAAAAAGATCTTTCATGATTGTTAGTAAACATATTCAAGTGAACCTTAGGCATTTCTAAAACTAATCAAGCATTTTCTGTAAAGCACATGAGACAAAACTTCTGTTACTTTCTTTATTGTTTCTCTTACTGCTAAGATTTATTGTGTTAAAAAAAAAAGTGGCTAGAAAACATCTATTGCATTGCTAAGAATTTGGGATTTGTGAGGGCTGGTGGCTTAAAAAAGGGTGGTTGTATACAGTATATTGTGACTCATCTTCCATTTTTAGAGCAAGCTTTACTAAAGATTAATCTGCTGAATACTTCAATTGATACAAATGTATTCAATTTCAAAAACTTAAGGATTCTTTTGCTTATGAAAAGTGAGTCCTAGTTATTTCAATTACTTCTAGGTGGATTTTTGATACCTATGTTTATTGCTTGTATTCCCTGTGAGGTCGGAAGACCGTTCGTGAGAAGGTAATGTCACTTATCTGGCTTTTACTTTTCATGGTTAAGTTGGAACAGATTTAGATTAGTATCTGTCTTTTAAGACATCTGCATATTGCGTACATAAATATTACAAGATTATTAGATTCGGTCAGTCTTGGTTTCTACTGAGAACAATCAGATTTCTGATCTCATTTCAGTGAGTCAGTTTTAAATACTGAACTTAAATTCACATCTTTAAGTATACTCATGAGTAGATAACCTCTGTAAATCTGGGGCATGTGAGATAGCTGATGGCCAGCCTGTTACAGAATGTGGGCGGTTGGGGTGCAATTAGCAATTCTGATAACCAGTAGAGTCTTGAAAACTGGACATTGTTCTAACTGTGATCAAAGCAGTACTTTGAACTGAAGGGTGCAGTTTATTTCTAAAACAACTTCTTTGGCATCAATCATCTTGCAGTAAATATGGAGTAGCAAAATCAAAATACTGACTTTAAATAATAGGTTTTTATTGCTGTACTGATCGTCCCATTGGAACAGTAGTTTAATAGTCTATACCTTCTGTTACCTTAATGCAAGGGAACATATCTGACAACTGTATTGACTGAAGTGTTTTACCTTGGGAAAACCAGCATTTTTTTAGGCTTGGATTATTTTTTTTTGGTCTATTAACTGTCTGTCTTATTACCATCAAACTCTTAAAGAATTTTTAAGATCTTATTGCACCAGCAACCAATGATTAAAACACCCAACTTTATACGAGTTTGTACCAAATGCTATTACAACATGCTGTGGAACTGCATGTATACAATGAAAGCAAGCAGTATTATTTTGGAGCTTTATTTAGTCTAGGAATAGAGTTTAAAGAACATTAATTTGTGACTTCAGCCTTGCACTTAAATGGTAAATGGTTTTGTATTTGAATCCACCATTTGTTCAAATGTCTCTCTTGTACTGCTTGTTAATTTTTAACAGGGTTTGCTTTGCTTCTCCCACATTCTCTTTGGGTCTATTTTCATTTCATGCAGAATTGTTTCCTGTTTTCATGTTTCATAGCCCTTTACATGAAAATGTATAGGTGTCTTATTTCAAAAGTGCTTTAACTTATTTTGAAATGATGTCTGACCTTGGTCTGTTGCTTTTTTAATACCATTTCATTTGTTGATGTCAGTAATCAAATTGATCATTTACAATGTCATCAACACTACTAAGTTAAACATAGCAACAAATAGGCCTAAGTTTCGGCTTCTCTGCTTTAAGCGACCATTCTAAAATTTTATTTCCAAGAGAATACACTTCTAAATTTATTTTCACAAATGTGGTGTTAGATGTTTTCTAAACTAGTGATAAACAGTTTATAAATCTTATGAAATATGTGTTGCTATTCTAGAGTATTGTACTTAAGTCTTGTTACAGTGTTAGTTTTTCCTTTTTTTTTTTTTAGTACTGTCTTGGCTGCTTTTGAAATGTTTTGAAGTAGTAATTAAACTTATATTTTGTGGTTATTTTTTAATTGTTTTTTAGTATTTGAGTCCTTTCTGCTATACAGGAGGCATGTTTTAAAGTGGTTCATTTCACTAGAACTAGCGTCATTTTACAATCTGTCTGCTACCAAGGAGCTTCAAAAGCTCAAAGATTATTAACTGAAAAATCTTTTATCGATTAAAACAATTTCCTGTACTTAATTAGCTTATGCATCAGACTTTTATAAAAAAACCTGTAGAATAGGCTGAATGTTACAGCATGCATTCTGCTGTTTGTACCAACTATGCAAGATGATGTAAACTTAGCAGTTATTAATGTAGTTTGCTATAGACAAGCCAACTAGACATACTGTAACACACTCCCTACAGTGTGGTACATTAAAATGTCTTAAGTGCAACAATTGTGTTACTAAGCCAAGAAGTCATGTATTTATAGCACAAAATGTAGTAATGTAATTTTCTACAGCTCTCTCAAGAAAAGTATTCTGTTCATGTTATTTGTTAATGTGCAGTAAAGGGTAAAGCAACAAGAACTTAAATGGAGGCTTATCTGTTTTGACAAAATGCCCTCTCTCAAAGCAAATGACTTACTGGCTTGTGACCCTCTCTTTGTTTCAAATCACTTGTCACTACACAAAGAAGTAAAAATCATAGTAAGTTATTAAGTCTAGACTAAGGCAATGTGTTAAACTAACAAAATAGCCTGTAAGAGGAGAAGACTTAAACTTTTGTTAAAGCAAAAAACCCCAACGCAAACCTATTCATATTCTAGCTGCTGAAATACATTAGTTTTTTGTTTGAAAGTTTCCTTCTTACAATGTTGAGGGGTAAGAGTGCCCTCATAAACTGGAGAAAGCTTGTAAGGATTTGACTTGAAATTTGTGTTAAAAGCTTCTTGGCTTGAAATGAAGTAGTGTTTAAGAGTAGGAATATAAAATGGTGAGTATGTGTATCTGTAGTGATAGATTGTGCCAAGTTTGTTTACCACCAAATTCTTGACTGGAATATTACTAATGCAGTTACATACAGCATTGCTGAAAGCTTCCAGTTTAGAAGCAGCTTTTGTTTCTTCTATTTTGAGGGTGCAAGCTAAATCTATATTGATCAGTTGATGCTTGTGACCTTTAGTTTTTCTTGAATGTTTCTTAAAGCCACCAAAATGGCTACAAGTAGTTGTAGTACTGTTTCTTAAAACCACCAAAATGGCTACAAGTAGTTGTAGTATCAGGGTTGTCACGCCATTCTCAAATTTCAGATCTTAAAACCCCTACAACGTTATACATTTAAACTTCTGAAACTGTTCTCTTGCCTGAAACTACAGTGCTACACTCTCCAGCCCTTACTCTTTCCATTAACGCAGTCATGGAGGCAAAGGAGAGAAAGACATGAGGTAATGGGGCAGGGGGGGAACAGCAGCCCTCCTAGTTATCTCCCCCCCCCCCCCCCCCCCCCACCCTGGTAATGTGTTCTCAAGCCCATGCTTCTGTAGGGACAAGTATCAGACTGTGTTTAATTTCTGATGTCAGTCTGCAGTAAGATTCTAGCTGCATTCTTCCAGCTCTTCTGCTTTCCCAGAAGCAGAATACAAGTTAGTATGTTCTTCTGTACTCTTAGCTATTACAGTAGGCCATCATGGGAGACAGTGGCTGTATTTCCCATCACTAGGAATAATGTAAGCTGAATTAAGTATTTATACAATGTATCTAAGCCAGGAAACTGCTACTGTAAAAACACCAAGAAGGTTTAGATCAAATCCATACCGCATTAGCAAAACATGAAAATTGAATCACTTTATTTGGACAGTGTTCAGCTGAGCAAACATAATAAATACAAAAACCCAAGCAGTCGTTTCTGGCATGTTTAAATTCCTCACCAGCTTGTAGGGTCAATGTTCTTGAATGGTTGAAGGTTCCAGAAATCTTGCAAACTTGTTGAAACTTCACTGATTTTGCAGGAGCCCGTGTCCAATGCTTAATATCAAACACAACTTAAACAAGTAGAACTGCATTAATACAGCCATCATTTTCTGGATTGTTTGTTACTTGTGCGTATTTCCCTAAAGAGAAAAGGGAATTAAACGTCTACAAAAGCTTGAAGCAGTTCATATAATAAATTAGATTTTTCTATGTTTGCAAGTTCAATCCACAAGTCTCTTTAAAGTGTAGGGAATTCCTGTTCCAAAACTGAGATGCATTTTGAAATCTAAATCTACCTTCTGCTAAGCTGCAAACTGAGGTTCTCAAAATATTTTGTTCAGGCTGATTTTTATAAATGGATCATTTAGAGTTCTGGGTAGATTTAAAACAAAAAAAAATTCATAGGTTCTGCTATTGTCCAAGTCAACCCCTCTGTTAAAAGAAGTCAGCCTGATCCTATGAAGATACTTCTAAACAGAACTTCCACTGAAAACATAATACAATTGTTCATAGTTCACATGGTTAGGTCTTTACAGACCTGTAGCATTGCTTAATGTGAGACATAGGCAAGCAAGTTGAGTATTTGTTCTGAACTTCACCTAATTTGATTTTGAAAATGTGAATGAAATGCCTAAGATTAAAACTTAAAGCTTGCATTTTTACAGTTGCCTAGTAGTTGCTTCTGCTACAGCCCGAACCTAACATTTAACAATGGATCAATTATGACTATAGGATGTGGTCTTAACAATACGTCAGGCAATGAAGACTTAAAACTTTTAAAAGTAGTTCTGCAATATAGCTAGTTTAACTACTTACCCCAGATAACTTTGCCCCCTTGTGTCACGAGGCCAAGCTCACTCACATTCACCTCAATGACGGTACCCTTGGTAATTACACCCAATGTTGTATACAAAGGAGAAGAAGGATTCTTTTTTACACCAAGGATAGGTAGGCAAAAAGTAGCTTTAAGTTCAGGATGTGTCACATGTGCCTTCTTGAAACGTAAGCCCTGTTGCATAAGGAGTTAATAGAGTCATAGAATGAGTTAATATTTAAGCCCTCATGACTAATCTAGTTTAACACTTTCAGTATTATGTCCTAAGCTTTATATGTTTTGAGAGACTGGGAAGAATGAATACAGAATGCTATCTACCTAGTATAGAATTCCACATTTGTTTAAAAACCTGATTAATGACAAGATAAAGCTTTCCATATATATATTTTCAGGATGTCAATTTTTAATAGTAGTACAAGAATAATACTTGTTACCTCAGATGGCTTCTGTTCCATGAAGAAATGAGGCATTTATGGTAATACATTTAACAGTGCTACTGTTTTTTAAGACTACAAATTTTTCCTTTTTTCTTGTAAAACTGAAAAATCCTTCACATATTGTAAAATACTAAACACCCATCTCTTATAGCACTTTCTATCAAGTGACCTGTGCTTTGTAAAGGGTGCTTTACCATTAAGTACCATAAACTTTTCAATGTCAATAAAAATCTATCCAAGGCTTCTGTGTAAGATGACCATCAAAATAGTAATGAAGTATGATCCAACAGGCAGCCTGCATAGGGATCCTGTTGATTCCTGTGACGAAACAGGAACAGGTATTTATAGAAAAACTACACTGTCTTAGTGAATCTAGTTTTTCCTCCTGTGCGCTGCCAGGCTGCTAGAAGCCCAGGCACTGTTCCTGCAGCTGTAAGAAAAGGTCAGGCTGGAGGCACAGTATTTCCCTTGCATACAGTCACGACTGTGCTTCAAGCTTACTTAACAAGCCAGAAGGAGTGAGTTCTGGAGTCCTAGAGCATGGTTGGCTTCTGCAGCTGACAGAATCACAGCAGCTTGAAAAAGAAGGCTCCAACTTTAAAAGCTATTCAAAGTGCCTTTGCAAAAGACCTTCCCATGCTAATTTGACAGCTCATAGCTTTAACTTACTGGCATCATCTGTGTTACCAGAGTAAGAGCAGAGATATTTCAACACAGACTGTGACTGCAGGGGCATCTCCCCACCCTCAGGCTATTCAAAGTTTAGATTTCTGCGAGGAAACCAATAGGAATATTCTACAGCAGTAGTAATCAAATGCATTATCGTAGAAGAAAGTTTCCTCACCACAGGAACTCAAAGCAGTAAGTCAAAAGAATTACTACTTAAACATTCTTTAACGCTCAAGAACATTACCATTGGTCGAATGAATCGCTCGTATTTAGGAGGCTTCCTAGTAAAGCCGTCTCCAACAAAACAAACTTTTGTAACCATTCTCTTCCAGGCCTTCTTCTTTCTCTTTCCTGTACGAATCACTTTTAAAACTTCTGTTTCTCCTTGTGCACGGACCTTTGGCACAGGAACCTCCCATTTGCCCTGGAAAGGGGGGAAAAAAGTCAATAGTCTTACATGCCACATTGCTAAATGAAAGGGGACAACCAAAGCATAAAATAAAACTTCCCTAAAGCATAGTGGTAGACCATACTTTTTATGCAACTCATAGCTACTTACTTTAATTATCATTTAAAGTTATGAAAATCAAGATATTGCATATGCTTACTTTGTCCTAGATTGCTCAATTACTCAAGGTTTCAGTTTTTATTTAGACTTTGCTTGTAGGCTGTAAGTCACCTGAGCATCAGCAACACAAAGTGGTCATTATCACAAGTAATTGTAAGTATCTGAATTTTAATACAGTTACTTACGGCTTTTTCTTTTCTTTTCTGCTTGATCATGTTAGAGAGAACCTTAGCCCGGGACTGGCCCTCTCTGTCCAGCAGGTATGCTGGTACAGCTCCTTTAGGTGTTTTTTCATCATTCTTTTTCTTTGTATTTCTCTTTTCATGCATTTTAATGCTGCAAGGAAAGAAAACCAGTATTAAGAGTAGAAGAAAAAAAAAAAAGGCTCAGTTTTAGATATATCCTTTGAACTTAGCTTGTGCCTGCTCAAAATTTTTTTCTAAGAGGTATTTATAAACAAATACATATTTATATTTAAGGCATAATCCTAAATAATTTTCAAGGTAAACTAGTAATTTCACTTAATGTAATAACTGACAGACTGCACAGTGCATAAAAGCTTGTCAATTCCTGTCAAGACAGGAACACGACATGCTTTTTATTAAGGAATTTCTGAATGACTTAAAACAAGCAGCCAAGCAGTTTGAGACATGCAGCCTTCCTCTCTGACAAAAAATAACATACTACTACTTTTCTGAGATTGATGGCAATACTTACAAATATGAGGAATGTGTGTGTTTAAAAGGGGTCATGTTTCATTAATTTTGAGGCCATTTAGGGGGAAAAAAAAAAAGAGCCACAAACTAGTTAACAAACCCAATACCTTTACAAGTAGCAGAGGAAAATAACTGTCTACACTTGGAAAACAAGAACATCACGGTGCATAGATATTAAGTTCATTAACAATAAAGAACATTGTTAACAACTTTGATTTCAATTTCTGAACAACATGAAAATTTTCAGAAAAATGCTTTTGTTTATCTATGCTTGATACTGTAATTTATCCTGGAAGACAAGCCTCATGTTCTGCTCAAACACTATGTACCTTACTGTAGTTTTTCTATTACCACTGTTAAAAAAAAAAAAAATGCCTGCTGCCTCTTGCTACACTAATACAGCAGTTGATGTAAAAACCCTAAGTAAATGCATTCATATTTTTGTCATCGTTACGTTAGTCACTGCTATTGCTAAGTAACACTTATCTTAAGGAATGCTTTTAGGAGCAGAATTGTTAACATCCATTGAAAAGGGAGGAAATCATAAATACTTTCACTGTGGTAAAACCCACTTTCCCCTACAACCTGAATGCTATTTAAAAGTATAATGTATGATCTAAGTTCTTTGTAACGTCTCATCTCATCCTTCAAATGTCAGGATGCCTGGACGGCGTCCGAGAAGCGGCGGCTACTCACGTCTTCTTCATCTGTATCTTCTCGGCATGCCGCTGCTTGTGGTAGAGCTTGGCCTTCAGCCCGATCATCTTCTTGGCCTTCCGGGACCGGTCGTGAGCCTCGCGGCCCTCCTTCTTCCTCCTCCTCTCGTGGTAGTCCAGGCGGTACCCATAGCGCTTGCGGTGCAGCTCGATGTACTCGTTCTGCGGCTGTGGGCACAAGGCAGCGCGATGAGCGGGTATCGGCGGCCGAGGACCGGGCGGCCGGGGCCAGCTCTGCACCCCCACCGAGGCCCG